TAACTTATGAAATGAAGTTGTAGTATACTAAACTGAATTTCAGTTTGATTCAGCCAGTACTTTCTACGCCAAAAAGTTTTTAAAAGCGAAAATCACATATTATCACCTCTGAACATATAAGTATTAGTACTATTCTTATATCATTTTAAAAACCAATGTTATATACTTCTTTTTCATGAACTCAAGATATCTTGATGTGGCGATATCAGTTGACCATATGTCAAGAAAAAACCACAAATTATTACTCCAACCTACATATGATATGTACATGTATACTTATACATATGTTCAGAGGTGAGATTACGTTTCATTTTTTTCTTATTTATAAAAATAATAAAATAATTAGTTTGTGGATTGGGGAAGTCTGTGGGATGTGTAGCCACTCCTGATGGAGGTTTAGCCACGTTGCCTCAAATTCCACAGCTTCGTGGGTTTCTCACTTTTATCTAGCTTGAAGAAAAAAAGAAATGATGTTCAAAAGCATATAATTTTAAATTTTCCTGCATTATATCATACATTTTGACTTTTACATATTACTCTAGAAGAACCGAAGAGAACCTAAATAGAAACTCCCAAATCTCAATGGACCTTTCATGTTTCTGTATATACTTGATAGTGTAGCAAAATGCGTTGTCATGTCTCTTCATTAGAATCGATCATATAAGCAACATACTTATATATTTATGTATCTCTTTTTTTACTCTTAATTGATTCCCACGTTGGTAGCAACGTGATACCAAATATAATTTTCTTGTTTTCTCTTTCTTTTCTCAAGTGTATATCCAAAGTCATCTCCCTTCTTTCATTACGCTTTCAGTTTCTATGTAACTTATAGCCATTTTAATGATGTTATAATATCGATGAGTGATGAATATTTGCATAAACCGACCACACTTTATTTTATTTTGGTTAAACCGACCACAATCTTGCATAATATCTATTTAGTATACGTAGTTTGTATTTGACATGCAAAGAAAAGGAGATGAAAAAAATTGAACCACAATTATTGTATTTGTTAACCAGTCGCTTT